AATTCGTCGGTTTTTAGCTTTAGAAATTACTTTAGTAATTTCTCGGATTTTTGTCGTCGTGTTTTTTGTTCGCAGTAAAAAACAGTGTTTTTTTATTAACTTTTTTTGTGGTTATCACAACCTGTTTTATTCAATCAAAGCAAACATTTCATTTAAGCAAATGGTACAGTATATGGTACAAAAGCTAGTTTTTTAATTACATATAAAATTTTTTCAATATCGTAAATATAAAAGTGTGCAATACCCCGTAACTATCACTTTTCTTGCAGTCATTACTGATGCTGTGCTTTGACATGCAAGACTATTAAAATTGGTGTTAATTATAGTATCATGTATACAATACTTGATTGAGAACAGCTGTATGATTAATTTTAAAACAACCAAATTTAAGAAATATTACGGTTGTTCTATGATATAGAATATTTAAACCCACTATACATGACCACGTGAATCAAATGTGTTTATCTAACAGGTGGCAATATTCTCCAAATTGTTTTTCTATAATCTTTACATGAATTAAACAGTTAATTATAAGCTACAATCGTACAATACGTGACAAACAGAAACAAACATGTTCGTACGTAAACCTAATTATTTAGGGTTGACAAAAACTTTAAAATAGTCATTTCATTTGGCAGCAACAGCAACTACTATAAGTAAATTATGTTGGCAGCATTCTTCGAACTATCACAAAATAGCTAAGTTTTTTGGTTCTCTCATAAATGTTCAGGATCAAAAAGTAATTTTAGTAGTTAAAAAATCGGGACATAAAGAACAACACGCTGTCTTGCTAAGCATGTAGTTTTACTCCTATAATCTGTGATAGACATATTGTACAATGTACTAACCAGTTAATATCCTTAATTTACGTGTACATTTAATACTTAGTCGCGTAATAGTAGTAGATCAACTTACTTAATGTACGTATTACAGGCTTTGATACAAAAACTATGAAATTAAAGTCAAAGTAGTAACGAGCAAAAACTTAATCTTCATTTTGTAGTTTTGGTACCCCAGCAACAATTGCTTAAGTGTATATTTCATTATCCTGAAGGGCATAGTATATGGCGAGGTATAATATTAAGTTTAATTACAATATTTAAGCGTCTCTATGTATTTACAGTAGGTGGAAGTTGCAAAAACTTTGTATTATGGGAGTCTTAAGCGTTATCTGTCTGAACATTGATCTAGAATCTGATAAATGTCTTTTACGAAAGTTTTCTATTTTCCGCACGACATTGATGTCATTTATCATTGTGCATAGAAAATTTGTTTAGATAATATCCCTTTTATTCTTAAGACAGCCTATGCTGATTCTCCATTATTAGATTTACATACAGAGAGCATATACGACGAACTTTAGTAATTTATAAATAGAGACAACTGCTTTGTTTACATGACTAATTCTCCCTACCAAAGGTCTTCGGCACCCTTAAAATTTAAAAAATCGGTGCCATGTGTGTTTCAGATTAGCAGTCCGTGACAAACACAATATGAAGTAACAATAGTTTTTGTAACAATAACGATGAAGTAGAATATATAGTATATGGTACATATACAAAATCGTATATTTTGCATTGTAATCTATTCTTGAAACCAACAGCTACATCTTCTGAAGCTACAATCAATTCTTCAAAAGGGTTACAAGAATCATTGTTAGGAAAGAGAATTTTTAAAAAAAGGTGATACGCCCAATGTCATGTTTGTTATCAATATACAAATATGGAAACCTTTAATCAACTTGATAAACTTTTAAGGCATGTGCATCAAACAATCCACATACTAGTATATACTGAGAGCCGTGACTACAAGCCATTTACGTATTCCATTGTTGCAATCGTTCATTACTGGACCAAGTTGATTTGTAATATGAACAAAGGTCAAGTATCAGCTACTGTTTCAAAACGCTTACTCTTAAACAATAAGGCTTAATAATTGCATCGTGCAGTCACGCAGTATTATTTTTATGGGTGAACTCATTAGTATTATCACTCTTACTTTTGGTCACGTGTAATGGACGAAGCGCTTATTATACTTTTGAGACTTTTAATGGTAATATTGCAAATCTTAGATTCAGATCCTATACTGTGAGGGTGCATCAATTTCCTTTTTAATGCAGAACACCTTTATATTTAGCGTAATTAACATTCATAATGGGTAAAAAAATTCCATTCAGTAACGTAATAACATCAAGCGCGGCTTCCTTTACCTATAAACGTATTTATTTAAGCCTGCAAAAGGGCGAGTTTTTAATGGCAACCATTAAGGCTGACAATGTTTGATAATCCTGAATCTGATATGTTTGTAAAATTATTTATTTTTGTACTTAGCGTATTAGCATGCTCACCGAGCTCCCGCACATGCGAGCTGGGAGTCACTTGTTTTAGTAGACTGTCGTAAATACTACCTTAAATAATTACATTTATTAATATATAACGATATCACTCAGTTCCTCAACACTACGATGATAAAATATCTTTAATAAGAAAACCCAGATTTAAAGAACAATTCCGTAATTACATTCCTTGAACAATGCGGGGCCATTTTTGTCGAATTCTCTCAAATAGTTCTGGTTTAGTTCTTCGTAAAGCATCTGGATCCTCAGCTAGAGCTACGAAAGTAGTTGCAACTCCGGAATCAATGGCATCCGTGATGATAATCTAAAAAAAAATGTCACAAGCGATTAGTGAATTATTTCATAGGCTAATGGTTGCATATGGATTATACTCGTGTCCATTAAAGCTTACCGTCATCATCAATCCAAGCAAGAAGCAAATGACAACAAGAATTACTATATTCGTCGTATCATTAGTTATGTTATTAGCAAGACGAATATACGCATAGCCAAAGGCTCCGCATAATACACCGATTAATATCGCTCCCATGGCAAGTACGTTGCCAATGAGATTGTCATTTATGATAGCCTCGACACCACGATCCTTAATGAGTTTCCAGGTATCCTTTGCGGCTCTACAAAACGATTTCCCATAAATGGCCACTGCATAAATTAAAGATGAATAGTCATTAGTATGTGTCTATTATGTCTACTGTGCCTTTATCTCGGCTAGCAATTCCACTTGGCATAATGAAGCTGTAATTTGATATATATGCTCTCAGAAAAAAGATCTATAATATATCAACATCTGTCTTACCTTCGACGTAAGCATAATGATTGAAGTATTCAACGAGTGCTTCGATATAAGACAACAAGCAGGCAAAGCACGCAGCCAAAAATCCGCAAGCACCGTCATCACTATTTGCTATTGCTTGGAAGATGGCTTTGATAGTATTGAGAATGGCAATAATCAAGCTACCGAAACAGATACTGCCAAATGACGTAGTACAAGCACGCTTGAGGGATGAAAGAGTGGGAACTGAACCAGTGCCTTGAGGCGTGCCTTCAAGGAAATAGAAAGCTGCGAATACACCAGAGTCTGTGACATGGACAATCGTCTTGATGACTTGACTTGTCCAATAAAAGCTGAACAACAAGTATAGCATGACAACATAAAGTATAACGCTATCGCAGCCAAACGACGTTGAGCCGTTCGCATCTGTAGTAGTTTTACATCCTGCTTCACTGTAATATTTCCTATATCTGTTGTATAAAAACGACATGAGAGTTGGTCTGGCCATACGCGTTTGAAATTGTGCAGTAACTTATATTATTAAATGAACTTACGCTCCAATGATTGTAAAGACCCACCACGCGGACCAACCTACTTGAAGGAATAAGCCAACGAAGCCCATTACGATCGTGCCATAATATTTTTTGGTAATACCAGTGACAGTCTCGAGCATGATCGCGGCAAATGGGATTCTATCTCGCCATGATATGGCACAGATGAGATAAATTATAGCAAATATGCCTGATATTACAGCCTAAAAAAGTTGAAATTTGCAGATTACAGATGAGAACTACCAGTACCATGTAGACCGCAAAAATGGTAAAAACGAATACTTCGCCAATTATAACAATACGTGTGATTTAAACGTACCAATACATATTGTTTAAAGAAACCATACGCAATTGCAACAACGAAAAAGGTAGCCACCGAAAGCCATAGAGTAATGATAATAAGTGGTTTTGGGAATTTTCGCATACACAGCATGTAAATCATACTCAGAAAGAACCCGAGGATTGCCGTAACAACAAGCATTATGATTGACTTTGAAGTCAAGGGAAAGTTATCAGTCTTATTTCCCAAACCCGAAAGTGTCTTGGAATCGGATAGGCTCTTTAATCCAAAATAACTAATAATGATAAAGCCAATAAAGTGGATAAGGAATAATATTGCTGCCCATGCATCTGTTTGAAAAGATAAATGTCAGTAGATGAGTTGACATTACGACGTCAGACCCAAATTAAACATTTCCGGACTATAGCTTTGCTAGTCATTTTAACATCTCCTAAACTGCTACCCACGGCCGACTTACGGAAGTCTCTTAGTACAAAGCTTCCTGCCTCGCCAAACTTGTAGCAAATATTAAGTACCTTGGAATTTAGGCCGTGGATTCCATTTTTCTGCCACTGTATTTTGTACTCTTCCTTGCTCATAACTTGGAGGATGATAGTGTGCGGATTCTGCATTAGGAACAGGTGAATATACCCCCATTGGTGGACGAGGAGGGTAGTATTGCTGTGGAGGAGGAGGAGGATAATATGGTTGCTGAGGTGGAGGAGGGTAGTACCCTGGCTGCTGACTCATAATTGCTAATTCCTTGGAGACAGGACCACTTTGGGAATTATTGCACACTCACAATAGTTTCTCGCTCAGCGATTTTATTTTCAAAACGAATATTAAGAAGAGTTAATGTAGAAACAATGATTCTATGACAAAGACGGGGTATGGTGCAAGAGTTTTTCTCTGCTATGCGCCACACGTATAACCTTAGTATACCAACGAACAGCAAGGCTGAGTATTAATTTAGAAATTGATGCACAAATCTTGCTTGGCACTACATTATATGAGATCGCACAAAGGCACCTAAATTGGTCAAACAATAAATGACGTATTACAGGTGACAATTTAAAATCGGTCGGACTTTCTATAAATATTTTACATAGACTTTTGGAATTTTTACGCGTCCAATTGCGCGCTTGTGCAAATAAGGTTAAATAAATAAATAAATGTCCTAGGGTTCAAACGTAGTTATATGACTTTCTGGGATTCACGACGCAGTTTTCTCGATGCGAAGCTTTTCTTGATGACATAAGAGTTTGGTTTCATCAACTCCGACAGAGGTCCACGAAATTGCCGACGGAGGCGCATCGCGCGAGTAAGTAACTCCTTGTGAGGATCTTTGTTCGATTTGACGTAATTAGCTCTTGTTCGGATAAACCATCGATCTACCTCACGCTCGGTAATGCTCGTCCACTTTGCCAAGTTCCTTATCTGAGATTTTGTTGGTTTATTGAAATCATTGTCGAACAGAAATTTGATGAACAGGAAAGCGGCCCGAGGGTCAGTCTCTTGACGAGAGGTTTTTCCACCGTTTACCAAAAGTGATTGAGTATCAGATCTTATAGTGTTGCTTGTCGTGGAATGCATTCTTTCAACATCATCAGTATATGAAGATTCTAGAGACATGGCGTACGTTGTGTGTAAGTTTAAAAGCTCTTGGGAAATTTTATAATGCATATTAAACAATTTCTTATTGAAATCTATTGCTCTTGAGCATAATTCAGTTATGTTCGTTACAAGTACAGTTACAGCAAGGTGGGTCTCGGAATGTTCTATGTTGGGAGTATTTGTCTTGTATTCGCTTATCAATGCATCTAATTCAGAAACATCCCTTAAGAGCTCTCTATCATCTGAACACGTGTAGAGTTTGTCTCGAAGCGCGAACAGTTTCGGCAAAAGAAGATCGAGTGGATTATCTTGAAACTGTTGTTCCGATTCAAAAGCTTGTTGCTGTCTTTGGATGGCGGTGACTGTATGGATATCTTGGTTGGTGCTTTCCCTATAGTTTGTTAAGTTTTTGGGGACTAGAAATTCTCCTCGGCTATCCAATTTCGTTTCCACTTCAACATTTGAATGAGGCATAAAACACGCGGTGTCGACAAAGTTATTTTGGATCGACGGTTCAGTGTGGTTCGAGTAGCTTTGTAACCATTCATTATTATCCACCGAAGAGTCAACATCTGTCAAATAGTCGTTAACTACGATCGAGGATGATAAAATTGTATTCGCACTGTAGCTTTCTTTTTCAGGTTCAGCCGTGTCGTTAATCCATTCTCCCAGGATGTTCAAAGTTGCACACGAATCCTCAGATGTCGGCGACCAGTTGAGACTCGCTATCGTCGCCAGATCACCTCTTTCGTTACTGCCACTTTCGGAAAAACTTCCATCGTCCCAAGTCCACGACTTTTCAATTTTGTTCACCTCTGGCGTAAATAATAACAATGCATCCGCTTGAATGTCTTCTGGAGCCCCATGAGTGTTTCTGTATTGAAAATGAGAACGAAGATTTTGTTTGAATTGTCGTCTTTCCGTCATAGTAATTAAATTTGTTAGATAGGGGTGAAACCCTTTCTTTGTAGTAAAATGTCTGCGAGTTTCCATTTTGAACGAAATTTGTAGTGGGCCATGTATGGATTTTATACTCACACTTGTAATGACGATTAGATCTAAATTGGGATTGATGATTGGAGTTCTTATTAGCCAACTATAGTAAGTTGAAACAAACGCATTAATGACTGGTAATATCACCCTGATTTGCATACCATTGTTTCCATTAGAGGTAAGTCACCAACAACATTACTAAATTTTATGATATGAGGGACTCTGTATAAAAGGTTTGGAATGAGTGGACATAGACCTCGGAAAGTCTTTAGATGGAAACTTTGAAACAACGTATTCAAACGTGCGAGAGCATTCGAAGACTCTCCTTAACAGTCGAAGATTTACGTTTTAACAAAACAGACCAAATCAACACAGTATTGCAATCTTCGTTACGTAAACAGATTTTCTTTAACTATGGTTATGATACGCTTGCTTCCATTGAAGATAGCTATTTTCTTGGACTGTTCGAAACTCATCTGAGCACGCGAGGAAGTCTTACAACATTGGTGAATTCTTCTCTTGAACTTCAAGATCATCCCGTGGATAAAATAATTGAGAGGCAATACCAAATGGCAATAGAAAATATTAAGATATATTGTGAAACAAAATGTTATGAGCTAAAGTTGGCCCTCTTAGGGAATTACTTCCTATTGCCAGTTGGCAGTGCCAATCATGTACAAAACTTGCTGAAGTGTATTGAAAGACTCTTCACAGATACTTATGCCAACACCATTCACACATTCCAAGTCACCGCTAAGATCAGACTATCTGAACAACACATCCAGAAGGCTATATCCTCCCCTGAGGTTGTCGTTACCACTCGCTTCTCCAACCATACTACACAAATCCTTGAGACTTTTTATGAGCAAAATGATCGTCCCAAAATATCAGATAAATCTAAGCTTGCCAAGGCAACCGGTCTATCTATTGAGCAGATTGAAACATGGTTCAATAACAAAAGGAGTCGTGCACAAAAAGGGGATACAGGTTTATGTGAGAAACAAGTAAGAGAATTCATGTTAGAAACGGAGATTGATTGGGTTGAACAGTTGAAATTAGTTGAAAAGGATAGTTTAACATCTGAAGACACTCGTTGTATTGACAATGTTGATCATGTCATTGAAATCCCACCAAGTCCTGAATCACCTGGTTCTATTGAAGTAGATAATCAATCAACTTCTTCGTCTGAGACACGTTATACATCGAAATTAATATCGCGATCGAAATTTACGAAAAATGCTCGCAAAATGGCTAGTCCATATGCAACATCACGTCCTCGAAAAGGTAAATCTACAGGCCTTCGCAGTGTTCGCATTACACCGTCAACTGTAGAAAATTCACCTGAAAACGGCAGGGCTGGACCCGCTAATCTAACTGGATTGATTAAAGCCACGCTAACTGCGAGCCCGTCGTCATCTGCAAACATTACTTCCTCGCCAACCAATTTAAAAGTTCGCGTGTCTTTTAACAAGTCAACGGCTAGGGCGCGCGCACAACCTTATTCATGTATTCCACCTAAGCGTCTTCGGAAGACTAAATCTCCGTCAACAAACAGTAATCATGCGAACAACGCGTCGGTACCAGCGATCCATATTGCCAACGATTCCTGTGGGCAAATATATACTAAAGGATTCTTGCAGAACATGACACCATCGACTGATAGTGAAAGTTATTTCACAGAAAGTCTGGACAAAGCTTTTGATCGCAACAATAAACTTCTACCAATAATGGATCCAGATCGAGAATCCAATCTTGCTTTCTTGGCTGAACAATATTATAATGGGCTATCGGGCGAGCAGTCGGCTTTAGAAACTGCGTTGATATTATCGCCCGTCTCTATATCGGGAGATCAGCAGCAATGTTTTCAAAATGTTCATCAAACGATTGGACGATTCGATGCACAAGAAACAGAAGTATACGACGATAATGTCAACTATCAACTCAGCAATGACGAGACTGATCTGAATCTGCAGAGCTTGTCTTCTAGTTTTCTTCCGTCCAACTGTTTTCAGGCTTATAATCAGTTCACCTGTGAGGGCGCATCCAATTTCTCTCGGGTTTCGATTGAGGGCTTTGACGATGAATCTAGCTCAACACAGTCAAAGTCTACTCAATCAGAAAGTGACTATCCACTGGATGAAGCCTTCTTATTCGATTCTAATATTCAAGAATCCGTGTGGCGATTTTCTGAACCGTATTTCGTTGACACTGTGCTGGCCAACAATGGTGAATTCTCTTCGTTCATACCCCATGAAGGATTCCTTGCCTCCGGATGTATGGCCACACTTAATAGTGATGCCGATTTCCTCACTGACGAAACGCTTAATGTGGTGCCTCAAAACAACATATCTGTAGCTGAATCTTCTCCATGGGTGATATTGACAGATGACGATCAACAGCAAATCATGTAATGTTTACAAGCGAACTTGTGGATGGGCCGAGACCGACGGTATATTATGAGGTAGTATACTAGTAGTTATGATTTCTGAGTCATCAACACTAGACTGATTACAAATAATCTCTATTGGGACGCCCGTTATATCTTCCGACCGACCAGTTCTAGGTTGTTAGAGATGACAAGATTTATTCGAGAGTAGTAGTTCGCATGCTCGTAGGTTATTTGTGGATGATTCTTCATACATGCCCTCGTAGTACAGATAGGATTCTTGGAAGATGTTGCTATTGCCTATTTATTTATGTAATTTATCATTATTCCATCAGTGCTGTGAACAATCGGTTTAGTTATCCTTATATAATCACGTGAAATAAAGCTAAATTGAACTCTTGTTCTAGTATTTAAACTTAATCCGTTGATAATGCTCGAGACTATATATTTCACTCGCGTACGTAATAGTAACCGGTTGAATTCAACAAACTGATAGCTTATTGATTCTGGATATTTATGCAAAATGGCACCACACCCGCTTGCTTATGTTCTTCACTCATTTATCGTTTTTGATACAAACCTTCCGCTGTCGTTCTAGCATGGACAACGTTCTGACTGGCTTTTGAAACCAGGCGAAACCTTAACATACCCAACAGGTCTCACGCACGATCCAACACTTTCTGACCATGGACGTAATCAAGCTCGTGAACTTGCGGCTTACTTAGCCACAAATAACATTAAGCTTGATAGCCTATACGCTAGTCCTTTCTACCGTACAATGGAGACGGCTAATGTCGTTGCGGAAACTTTGGATCTGCAAATACTTGCCGAGAATGGGCTAGGGTATGATTAACTGGTTATATTTCTATACCTTGTTTTCCTTGTTTTCCCTTCAACTCTGATCTCATTATTGTTGCCATCGAGGGAGTGGTTCAATGTCGGATGTAAACATGCACCAGCTCCGCTCGAACAGCTCCATTCATACTTTCCGCGTGCCCATTTACCATATAATCCTATTCGAATACCGTCGCCTAATGGAGAGACTCTTCAAGATCTTCATGATAGACTATCCTCTGTTATGAATGAAATGATCTCACGATGCGATGAGGCAGATAATGTGAATACTATAATGACAGTGGGACATGCGGCAACAGTCATAGCAGGTGTGAGAGCTGTCATTGGAGATAGACACGCTTCAGTAAATTGCGGAACTTGTACGCTTACGGTTGCAAAAAGAATCGAAGGCAAATGGAAGTTAATCACCAATGGTGATGCATCTTTCCTATCTAAAGGAGAGGAGAATAATTGGGCTTTTTAGTGAAATACCAATCATAGAATAAGCGAATCAAATAAAATGTGCGACTAGCAGCGAGGACTTGATGCCACATATCTAGGTGAATATGAACTATAAATCAGTCTCATCTGATAGAGCTTCACGCCACCAGAAGAGGAATAAAAGTTTCTATGTGCACACAAGCAATTTAACAGTCAGGAATGATGGAATTGTCCTTATATGTGGAAGAAATACACCGAAATAGAGGAAGTACCGCAAGTGGAACTTAATACGCCTTTTTCTCAAGAAGCAGGTACTGACTTTAAAATAGTGAATGTAAGTTGCATCGTACTTGATTGTTTGTATTGAGGTTGAAACTTGATACGTTGATTGCCAAAAGTATTTTGTAATCTGTGATCAAGAGTAATATTTCAATCAAATCGAGTAAGACTCCAGCAGGTTTTGAGTCTTACCTTCAAATCAGGAAATTCCGTTATTATGTAAGCGCGTTGTAGTGAGAGGGGCGGGGCGTTCGTCAGAGAACTTGAACGATGAAAGGTCATTGAACAGCCTGTTTGTGCAAACGCTATACGGATATCCTCTCCTCCAATCGGGATGTGAGATAGTGATACTTTCGCTTTCATGAGGTCAATTAATAAAACATATTAATATTAATATTAATAATAATATAAAAATGATTAGGTTTTTTTCTTTTCTTTTCTTTTTTGCACATTCAACATGGTGGTTCCACAGCATCTAATTCATTAGCATTAACACGAACAATCACTTTGAACTCATGTTAAGCAGGTTGTAACGAATCATCACTTCATCAAATTACGGCTATTTCATGTTTTTACTAATTGATCGGAGACTTTTATCTGTCAGTTATCCCAACCACTGCCGCAGGCATAGTAGCTTTGCGATGTAAATTTACTTATTAATATGTAGCATAGCACTAAATAAAAGCCGTCATCATACAATTATTGGCCATGCATTCTCGAAAGGCATACGGTTCACGCGCGCTCTCACACCCAACGCGATATTTAACGATAAACGGGTGATATTAAAACTATAATAACCAATTTCATGCTTGTACCGGTACAGCACTGCCAACATCGCTACTGGGATAGTGCGGTAACGGCAATGGTCCTTGCGTCGGTGGCAATAACAGCGAACGAACAGGTCAGGCACAATCTCAGCTTGATCTTGCCCAGATGGATACTGATGTCCTTGACTGTAAACACTTGATGGTGCTGACGGCATTGGGCGTTAGCATTGTAGGGCAAATGATCTGGTTGAGTTTGAGTGAGAAGGCAACGTTTGTGCCGTCAGCAATTATCAAATAACATAATAATAAATACATGCACTGAATGGTCAACCTTTTTCACAATAGCAACCAACTCGTCCAGATACCATTGTCGTACTCTTTCCCCAGACGCAGCCATATTACCTCTCTGCCAACACTAGAGCGAGAAACGCTTAAAAGCTCTCTTAACCGTCGTAGTGAGTAAGAATTTGATTGGTTGTACGTGAAATTAGTTATTAATGTATTTTGTTGTAGAAAATTATGGACTATTCCTAAGTTTTAATTATTTTGGGCTCAATACTGTTATCGGCTTCTTCGCTACTGCTATCTATCGGAGGTAAAATCTGTTTTCAATTTCTTCAATTGAGATGTAGCCTAGCTAGTGTTGGCGTATTGGTTGTATCAGAATTTTCGTATGATTTCTTTATTTGGTCTTTGTTCATAATCAGCAGGTACAAATTTCTTAATGTAACACTATCGATATCATGCATTTAGAGGGAGGTTTACCGTATTACGGAGTGTTCACTGTACTATTCTTTGGCATCTTGCTGATTAATCACTCTGTAATCGGCGTTTCCACCTTCATTTCTCAGAAAAGCAACTAACTACCTTGTTCCAGAATACGCTTAGTAATCGCTCCTAAACACAAGTTTTCAAAGCATAAGTGCTTGTTTTCGCCAGTTTTGCAATTCATGCGACTCTAGAATTTTGAATAGCTTCTGCTGATGATACCTCAGTTCCCTTTTTGAGCAATTGGTTTTTTTTAACATAGAGGCAAATTTGCTTTATATCGCTTGATGCCACTAGATAAATACCCCCAACATACAGTGGGTGATCAAAAGTATTCGTCACTCCTTGAAATTTACTAGTAAAACATATGAAAAAAAATTTTTTTTTCTAAAATCTCGATTGTACGTATTTACTATGTGAACCACAATGATTTAGGTACCGTTGTGAAGCTAATTGATTGTATTTTTCGAAAAAAATAGTGATATGTTCAGTTCCGTTATCGTACTAAAGCAGGCTGTTCGATGAAGTGATAGCATGTATGTTACACATGATTTTTATACATTTTAATATGTGTAACGTGATGCAGTCACTTCGAAAAATACAATCCAATTAGCTTCACAACGGTACCTAAATCATTGTGGTTCACATAGTAAATACGTACAATCGAGATTTTAGAAAAAATTTTTTTTCATATGTTTTACTAGTAAATTTCAAGGAGTGACGAATACTTTTGATCACCCACTGTATATAGTTTGCTAGAAACTTTAGCTCGGACATAGTTGCTGAATATAAATATAGAGCAAGAAGAACGTTAAAAGTAATTAATGTAAGAGTTCAAGAAATACCGTATTTCGCAGACTAAAGTACATTACATGAGCTTCAAAATGGTGGCTAGTCCGTGAAATACGGTAGATAGAGAGAAAGCAGGGGAGGAATCCTGTCTTCAGTTAACTATTTAGACACAAAGAATATGGTCTAAGAATATAAAAATTCTACCTAGAAAAAAATTTTCAAAAACAAGGTAAATCAATTTTTTATTAATGGTTAAATAAAGTACAGATAACATAATAATATTGTTCTAAGGATAATAGAAAAACCAATATGGTCTTATCCAACGTTATATATAACACTTAATATATATATAAACGAAAAAGTACTTCGCTGAATCAGTTTCAAACCCATGTAACAAAAAAATGTGAGCGAAATCCATTTGTTAGTTGCATAGTTTATAATGCTGTTGGAAAATAATTGATAAGCCGGAATCAGAGGAAAGCTCCAATCGTCCCTATATAATTTGTGGCGACTATCAGATTAACATGTACTGTCCCAATATAATCCGGTATTTATATGGTAACCCAAATTATATGATTATTAGCAATAAATGTCCGCCGAGCAAGTTAATGAAGGCCTATTCAAACGAACTCCGATACTAAATGGAATCAGAGCTTTGCCACCATCTTTGATTTTCTGCTAGCTGACTAGATTTTTCGCCGTGTAACAAATTCTAAAACTTGCCATTATAAAAATTATAATCGGCAAGCGATATGCGTATATATAGATAAGCTGTTAAAATTACTCGTTACAGAGGTTTTGTTGAGATTTTCGGCTCATTAGATGAAAATAGTGTCTAATACATGGGGCAAACGGAAGTTTTCTTTTTCGGGCTATTTCGCTATTTAGCTATTTAGATTGGGTTTGTGTCAAAAATCACTCCAAGTGTCTGGTAGTTTCTTTGTCTATCTTGTGACCTATATTGTTGCTGCTCTCAAAATTATTATGGAACATAGGAGTCCGTTCAGCCAAAGGATATTCAAATATTCTAATGTGGATAAATTTGGCAGTATAAGATCACAAAAAAGGAGCGGTACATATATATAATTGGTTCAAAACTATTACTACGACAAAAGCACGTGCACTCATTATTCAGGCGAAGGTGTCACTATTTATGCCGGTAAAGATGTTCTTGTTTGACCATAGTAGTTTTTTGCATTCAAAATTATAATGAATGCAGAGAGGTCACGAATTTAATAGATATTTTTGGTTTAATTTCACAACTCGAATTTGTCAAGCCAAATCACGCGAACCAAAAAATCTTGACCTTAACTTTTAATCTGGTATAGCCCAGCCCATACTTTTTTAATACTTCTAACTGCAACTTCGATCTATCTTACTAATTCCACTCAAGACCTTTTATGGAAAATTACACATCAAGTCAAGCTCTTCTCTGCCCATGGTGTCCTACAATCTTTTCACTTTCACTCATCTCATAACACCACACTCCTCACCATCAACAAACATTCTCACATCACCACCTCATTTCCTCTCCCCTCTCATCATCTAATCAATACTTTTATCCTATATGTAGATCAATTACTCCACAACTTCCATGGCCATTATCAGCCATGTCTTCACTTATTCTTTCTCTAACACCCCAGAAGTATTCGTCACGCCTTGAATTTTATTAGTAAAAAAACATAGTAGATATTTTTTGGCGAGCCTCGATAAACCGATAATGTAGTACAAATTACGTGACCTGATTCTTGTAATTTCATGAAGATTTTGCAATAGCCAATAAGAAGCAAAAACCTCGGAAAACCGATACCTCGCGAAATGGTGAGGACAGCCAGTCCGATGAAGTGGCGGAATTTATTATTATGCCTACACATATTAAAATGGTTCGTGTAACTGCAAGCTATAGGACTGAATATATCTAATGAATTTCAAGAAGTGACATACTTTTGATCACCCAATGTATGTACAAGTATATGTTACAGTCACCGGCAAAAGTAATGGCGGTCAGTTTTTGGGATGTTTTGAGCGCAATTTGGTATATAAACACAAATAAAAAGACTTTTATGAAAGCCTAATATTATGGCTACAAACTTTATTAATAACTTAATACTTAGTATGGCATCCTTCAGCTTCAATACATGCTTGAACTCGGT